TTTTTTTAAAATTAAACACTATCTAAAGATTTGCATCGAAGCGTTTATTTTTGATAGTGATTTTAATCACTGTCAGATATCATTATACTTGATCCAACTATACCACGTCACAACTGTGCCGCGACCCCCCTGTGCTGGGTTTTTAAACATAAAACCCTATATTATAAAGTGTTAGAATTTGAGAAAATGATTTAACAGTAATTTAATTTAAATGTTGATTTATGAAAATGATACTTATCATACATTTTATTTGTATAGGTTGAACTATTTTTGGTTGTTCTTCTTTTGAGTTATCCAAGGGATCAAATTCTTTAGTAATTCCATTATCAGCAGGCTGCTGTGTAGGTATAACATTAACTTCATCAGGTTCTAAAAAACAGGTAAAATAAAATAAACTTTTAAGAAATAAAAAAATTTTACTCATTATTTACCTATTAAGAACCACATGTATTGTTTGTATTTAAATTTTAGTACAAAAACCATACTAATTGTCATATATTTTTACCAAAAGTTAAATAAAAAATTCTATTAGGTAAAAATAACAAAATACTCAAAAAGTGTAAATATTAAAAAGTTTTTTTAAAACAAAATTAGAAGTAGTAGCTTGGTAAATATACAATTGGATAGTTGACTAATATTTAAAAGTAGGATAAAACGAAAATAGTATTTAAAAAAAATTAAAATTAAGTGTTGCATTTTGATTAATTGTTAGAAAAGTTTGAACATTTTTTATGTTTCAATTTGATTAAATGTTGATGAAACTTTTTTAATATTTTTTATTAAGAAATATGAATTCATTAGGTGGCAATTAATTCATTTATCCTATATTTATTTATCTCCAAATTGTAATTTTATTTCAATTTGATTCTTTAGCTATAATAATCAGGTGGTTTCAGTCATTATTAGAATTTAACGATTCAAGTTTTGAAATAAATACACAAGTTTTATTATATAAATAATTTTTTTTTTTTTGTATATAGCTTCAATTAGATTTAAGAATAATTGTTACTAAAAAAATATATAAAAATAAAAATTGTCAATAATAAAATTATATAGCCCTCCTTACAACATAACACTGATGACATTTTTTTAATCAATTATTTTGTTTTTCAAGTTTATTATTTATAGGGAGTGTAGAGAGAACCTGAAGTGCATCTACTTAATATTATTAACTTAAATCTTTAAGTAGCCTTACAGCAAATAAGTATAGAATTTATTATTTATTTTAAAACATTTTTTTTAAATAAATAAAATTTTGGTGATTTTGAAATTTAATAGGCCATTATATTTTGTGTTGGAATGCATAATTAGACAGGTATCAAGGTTTCATTCAGTACTACCAAGTTATGTATGTTTTCTCATAATAATTAATGAGAGAACTAATTTTTTTACTTGAAAGGGTGTTTAACACTATAATAAAGAAGTATTATCTTACGTATTGAGTTAGGGCAAATATTACTACTATTTTCTTCTCGAGGAACATCAATAATATCTAACATTTGTGTAACAGCATTTCTAATATCACGCAACTGTTTTTTTAATTCTTCAGCATTCAGTATAGATTTTGAATGATCTTTTGATTGGTTCAAATCATTCATAAATACTTGTAGTTTTAATACTCTACTAGTCTGTAAAGCAAATGATAAGTCTTGACTATCAAACACTGTAACCAAATCACCATCTGTTTAAAGAATTATGAATTATAATTAAATTTTATATTTTTAAACACAATGATCATAATTATTTAAAATAAATTGTAATAAAAATAATCTTACAATGGACCTCTAGGTCTCAGTGCAAGGGAAGTTTTTGCCTATTCCTATAAAAACTAAAACTAACTATAAAAATGTGTAAATACATACTGTACAACATAAATTGTGAAATAAATAACCTAATCAGTAGAAATAAATTAATTCAAAAATTAGCCAACTATTCTTTTAAATATAAATATAAACATAAAGATGCATATTTAACAAACTTTATGAACAATTTTAATTATGCATAAAGTATAACATTTAATAAATTATTTACAATAAAATACATTATTTTTTTAAATTACCTTCATCTTTGTATTTGATAGTGAGATCATCATTTGCTGTCAATTTACCATTAAATATTCTTTGCATCATTAAGAGCAATTCATCATATGTAATTGATTCATTATGAATCAACACTTTCCTTATATCATCACCTAATTGAACCTGAAAATATAATTCAAAATATAAATATAGCTAAATTTATTCATAATTAAAAAACTGATTAATAAAAATTTGTACTAGCTTATAGTGTATTCTGGTTAACTTAACAAACTTTATAATCCATAGCACTGGTAATCTTTCTACCAGTTAAATTGGTCTTACTTAAAAAAAAAAAAAAAGAATAATCTACATAGAGTTCAAATTGAAGTTGCAACTTAAAGCCAAGGTATAAATATTTAAGATTCTTTTTTATTTATTCAACAAAATACTAATATCAAAATTAAAACAGATATTTTAACTTTTTTGAATCAGAAAATAAAATAGTATTTTATGTATAATATTAATTCATTATTAAATATTTATAATTGTTGAATCAATAAATTATGTAATAAAAATGTACTTACTTTAATAATGACCTTCCCTAACAAGTCTAAAGGTTGAAAACAAGACTTGTCAGCTTCCATTATTACAATTCACGAAATCAATTACAAAATTTATTTTTTAGTTTAGTATACAATCTTTAAAAAATATTATGATTCAGAATAAAAATTATTACATAGATATTAAAACGTAATTTCTATAAAATAATCCTTAAAAAGTTTATGTTGATTGTTAGAATTTTAACTTATTGTCAATGTACGTTAAACGAGCTCTTTTTTTAATAATAGACATCATCCAAGATAACTAGTCGTAAAAATTATTGTATTCATTGTAAACTACGAAATCAATATAATCTCTTTATGTACCTCTCTCTTAATGATCACTACTATGAGTAATTAAAACTACAGATATACAAAAAAAAAAAAAGCAAACTAATGTTGATACTATCACAAAGCATCAATTAGATATTCAAAAAAGTTATTAGAAAAATGATTCACAATTAGATGTCTATGTTGATCAATGTCAAAGTGATAATACACTAATGAATATGTGAGTGCACGACAAAAAGATAATCGACAAAAAGTCTCTAAAATTTGACAACAAACCCCTGGGTATTTCTTATGTATTTGTTATCAATTTTTACAAAATCGCAGTTCTTATTAATACTCAACAAATCCCTATGTATGTTGGTTCACAGACTATATGAAAAGATTTTTATGAAAATAAATTTAAAATCCTTAGATATTTTTAAATTTATTCTATTTAAATAGAATATATATGATTTTAAGTGAGTGTTAATAAGAATATATGAGAAATTATCATTGTACAATGGATGGTAACAAAATTGAAGCTATTCGATATTTTGAGTTATCCAAATTGTACTTAGAAAAAAAGGATTATTATAATGCTTGGAAGTATACTTTAAAATCGATTAAACTTTTTCCAATGTATGAAAATAAATGTAAGTTATTGACCTTTTATTTATTTTTTAATTTTAATATATTTTCCTGGCATATACGGAAACTTTTAATTTTGGAAATCATTTCAACATTGAAATGGAGACAAATTTCTTCTATCATTAGGTACCATTGAAAATACTACTGTTTTAGCTAAAATGATATAATATAATTTTTTTCATATTACTGCTGGTAACAGTAATATTGTCCTACAACAAAATATATTACTGCTATAGTAATGATGTCCATCAATGTTTTAAGAGATTTTCATTATGTCCAGTAATATATTAAAATTAGTTATTAACTATCCAAGAGGCATAAAATTATATGTATTCTGTTGGTAGTTTAGTTGGAAAGATCTTCACTATAGAAAAATCTTAATTTCCATGCAATATCAATAAAATTAATTTTTTAGATAAAAAAATTTGTTGCACCTAACAATACATTATTATATTTGCTTCTGTTTTGAATTAATTGTATAAAAAAATTATATTTTGTATAAAAGGTTTGATGAGAAATCTCAATTCTTTAGCAGAATCACTAAAGCAAAGATCTTCAAAACGAAAACAACCAGAAAACTTATCCAGTAATTATAGTATATAAAATTTGATAATTATTTAAAAAATCAAGACAATTTATGAAAAATAATTATACTTTTATACATTAATTTTAATTAAATATTCTCCTAAATTTTTCTTTATATCTTTATTATTATTATATTAGATTGTTCTATTTTAACTGAAGATTATCTTAAAAATGAAGAGAGTAATATATCTTTTGAACCTAAATCAAAAAAATTTCATCCAAGCATTCCATTAAGTAAATTAAAATTAATAAATTACAATAAGTATTTTAAAACAACAACTAAGTTGTATAATAATTAATGAATCATTTTTCAGCTAGTACCTATTCAACTGACATGTTTAAACAAATAAATAAAGATGAATCTTATAGATGTATTGAAAAAGCAGAAGATTTCATTAAAAGAAATCAACTAGATATGGCAGAAAAACTTTTACATAAGTCTATAAAGTTATTCTTTATCTCTAAAGCTGAAAGTAAAATCTTTTTTAAACTTCATTAAATGTATTAATTTTTTTATCAATACATATACTATTCCAGAGCTACTTGAAAAAATTACATACCTAAAAGAATTGAATAAACCAAAATATAGCTCTGAACAAATTGATTTAGTGAAAAAGTAATTTTATATTTTTTTATAATGATACTTAATCATAATTATCAATGTTCATAGTTATTTTATTATAAAAATTGTTTATATTATTTTTCATCAAGTTGATTATTTTTAGATTGAAAAATAGCAAAAATTATTATACAATGCTGGGTATTAACATAAATGCAACAGAAAGTGAAATAAAAAAGGCCTACAAAAAATTGGCTCTATTAATTCATCCAGACAAAAACCCTGCACCAGGATCTGGAGAAGTTTTCATTGGTAAATTTTAACTAATAAATTTAATATTTTAGCAAAAAGTATAGATTTTATTTGTTTAGATACTCCAATATTTTTCTAAAAACTAATTTTTACACTATTTTATAAATTACATAATTAAAAGAATAATTAATTATCTAAACACTACTATATCAAAACTTATCTACCAAATTATTATTTATAAGGACTATCTAAAATATAAATAAAACATCTAATCCTTAACTTAAATTTTATGCTATTCACTTTCACACATTTACCCCTTTTATCATTTTTCTTTCCTGTGTTACGACATTAGTAAAATACCCAGTTTAATTATAACAAGAAATATTATTTTGCTGATTATATTATTATAATTAACTATAATTATAAATTTTAACTATCATCTAATTAATAATAATTTAAAATTTTGCAGCTATAGGAAATGCAGTTAAAGTATTGTGTAATCAAAGAGAGCGTAGTATATATGATTCAAGTCTAAATAAATCTTCAAATACAAAAAGTATAGTAATTTTTTTTTTTTTAATGTATTGTGTTGTTTTTTACTAAGAAATTAGTAAATAATCATATAAATAAAAGTATATTTAAGTAATATTTATAGTATGATACTATAAATTAATAAAATACTTATAAATTCCTATTTTCATAAGTTATATGAGTTGTCAGTTATATCTGTTCCAATGTGTATATAAAAAAATATATTTTTGTGCATAAAATATACTTCTGTTCTTTCTCATTAATACATTTATGAATAAACTTCTTATAAATTTGCTGTTCTTATTATTGTTTATTGATAAATATGTAAATTTTCAATTAATGTAAATTATATACTTTTATCTATTTGCATATTTTCAAATTTTGTGACCAAATATATGGTAATGAAATTTTTACCTATTGTGAAATTATAGAGTATGAAATTATAAACTTCTCTCTTTGATTAATATAAATATTTTTTTAATCATTGATTAACTCTTTTATATGTATGATCATTCTTAGGAAAAACTCAATGTGATGGATCTTCATCAACCTCAAAATCATGCCACTCAGAATATTCATTTAATAGTTATTACAACTACTATGAGTATTGTGAAGAAGATTACTATCAAAATTATAATTACCAAGAAAATGTTGACTTTAACTATGGAAATTATTACTATGATGATTATTATGATACTTATGATTATTAAAACATTTTTTTAACATTTTAGTATGAAAAAATAATATCAATCAAATTAATAATTCTAGATTTAACTAATGTTATACATAGCTCTATATTTATTTAATTAAACCCATTAAATTAATAATCAATTAATTATTTATTTATTCATTTATATTACTTTAAATATTTTGTATTCTAACTATTTATTTGTGAAGATCTAATTTTAGTTTCCCTGCTTGTTATTTATTAGCAATGCACTACATAAAAAAATTCAGAAATTTGTTTCATTTATTCAATTTCTATATTAGGTTGATCTATATTAATTGAAGATGATTTTAAAACATATGTTTTAATAATCCATATTTCATCATATATATATATGATAAAATATGGACTCATGGTGAAATTGTGGTTTTGGAGGGTTAGAATTAGACATAGATACTAAGGCAAGTCATAAGAATAATATCTCACCCCAAAAAGTAATTAGAATAAATACATTGTAAAAAAGGCGCTTTTTCTATAAATAGCTTCACTTTAACAGAAATATTGAAATAACTAAAAAAAATTGATAATAGTATAAAATTTGAAATAATTACAATTTTAGTAATTATTATTTAAGTTTGAATTTTAAATGTATTAAAAAATATATTGATTAAAAGACATATTAAATATAAACATACTATTTCGATATTTAAAAGGTAATTGTTCAGAATATTTCATTTATTGTAAATGAATAAATATTTTTTCAAATCAATCATCTACTAAGAGAGTTTAAATAGTATCATTAAATGTTAAAATATTTATCATTTTATAAACATCTAATACTTTAATTATTAATTAACCTATGTAGATTTTTCCAAAATTTGAAGTATTAAAATCTTTGGTAATAATACCACAGGTTGACTATGTTAATTACTACCATAAGATTTAATCTCACTTGAAATGTACTGCGAAGTATTAATTAGAGCTGTAGCTGCTCAAGATTTTATTAAGGCGTTTGGGTACCAACCACTTTTTAGTCAAAAACAACCCGTTTTTGTTCCAACAGTACGAAACTACTGATGCGATAAGAAATCTGAATTCAGCATCTTGTCACTTAGTTATCGGTTAGGCCATTTTTTTTAATTTTTGATGTTTTTACCCTTAAGTACAGTTTACATTTTTGAATAATTTCAATTTCAAAATAAATTTTTTGCGTTGAAGGAATCACAATTTCAAAAAAGTGGCCTGACTGATACCTAAGTGACATGATACTGAATTCAGATTTGTTTTCAGAATTCTTATCGCATCAGTAGTTACGTCGTACTGATGGAACAAAAACGGGTTATTTTGTTCGTTCAAACAGTAGATGTTAAATCTTACATGCTCGTGCGCGTATGTGCGTTACCGCAGCAGCTATTTTATTGCCCATAGAGTTGCATAGGGCAATACCAACTGCCTAAAAATAGTTACAAATGTATACTTAATTTTACATCTCTATATATATTTGCTTTTATCTAATGACCGACAAAGTTATCATTGCAGGGGGTTTAAACCCCCCTGTGACTACGCTACTGTAAGTAGCTCCAAAAATAAATCTGGTGAGGTATGTATATATAAAAATAATTTTCATACACTTTCTCAGCTTCCATAGAAAACTGAGAAGGTATTAGTTTTACTATGATGTATTTTTTGCTTGTGTCTATCCATATTTGTACCCACTGGATTTTTATTCAACAATACGCCAAAAGATCAAAAAATATATTTTGTGGATGTATTCAGCATTATAATTTAATAATTTCCCGTTAAATCTGCCACAATAACGTGTTTTTCTCAGTCGCACACTATGTTATGAACATCATTTGAAATGTACACATATATAAATTGCTTGATCATCAAATAACAGGACAATATAAATGTAAATCAAACATTTATTAATAAAATGTACTTTTAGGTAAGGTAATTGATAAAATTTAAAAAATAAAAGAAGTGTGAAATAATATGTGGCCACTATTAGAAAAGTTCTACTTGTAGTATACTTGTCTATGGTTCTACATGGATTGTTTATTACCAGAGATAATTGACTCTCGTTTTAACAAAGGACTTACTATAAGAACAGGCTTATAATACTTAAATATCATACTGTGTAAATAATTTAATTTTGTAAATTGCATTCTTAAAATTCAAAGTAATGTCTTTTTTAATTTTATAGCTTAAAAATAATCGATTTGGATGTCATATGATTTAACGTGTTTTCTGTAAATATTTAGTTTTTCTTACTCATCGAAAATAAATAATATAATTATTTCTATAATTAATTAAAATTTGTGAAATCATGACGCGTCTGTAAGTAATTACGGCGAGGCAGGTGCTAGACTATGGTTTTTATACTACTTAAAATAAACGTGTGTCGTTATTAAATCAATATAATCGTATTACATCAAAAAGTAAGGCAGGTACATAACCGATTTTGTTATCAACTATAACACGACGAAAATACTTCCAATAATGGACACTCGCACTAATAATCATTTACTTCTCACACAATGACACTGCGTAACATGAAAAAACCGCAAAATTGCCTATATTCGACCCCTGAAAAAAGGTCGGTACACAGACGCCTTAAATCACAGATATAGATAAAAAAACATCTAATACTCTTAATTATTAATTAACCTATGTAGATTTTTCCAAAATTTTAAGTATTAAAATCTTTGGTAATAATACCACAGGTTTATTAACTATATCTGTGCTTTAAATTGATATGTGGAACTGACAAAATTATTAAATTATATGATACGTTCATTTTATTATCCAAATCAGCTGTTACAGAAATATTTCTTCTATATGCTCGATAATCATTATCATTCATTATTCTCTATGATAATACTTCAACCCATATAGGTAATTGATTAATATTAAAATATAAATTGTAAATTTTACTTTTTTTATTTTTGACATTAACATTTAAGAAAATCGATTACATAGCATTATGATTAAATATCCATACCTATTTATAAATTAGCTTGAAAATCTTTAAGCAATATATTTTATTCATTGTCTTTTTTTATTAATTAGTTTATTCTAATTTTTGAGAATATTTCCTTTAACATTTTGTGTTATTAGAGATAACAGAAGAAAATCTAAGATAGTTATGGAAGTTAATAAAGATGAAGCATTTCGATGTTTAGATCGTGCTGAGTATTATTTAAAAGAGAGAGATTATGAAAAAGCAGAAAAATTTATCAGTAAAAGTAAAAAACTTTTCCCTACGCCTGAAGCTGATGGTATGTGAACTAATATTTATGTTACTCAATAAAATTATTTTGCTGTTGGTTCTAATTTTATTTCTATGTACAGAGTTGTTAAAGAAATTGAAACTTCAAAATCATCATTATAAATCATCAAAATCGACTAATAGTAGAGATGGACAAAATAGTAGAATTCCTAAAGATGTACCTGGTATGCATTTATATAAACTTAAACAAATTGATTATAAAAAAATATAGATTGAAATTATTTATTTATATTTTTTAATTTATACACCCATCTATAAAAATAGAATTTATTGGGCATCTGTAGGCAAAAAATATTTTATTTATTGATGGTCTAAAACACAAAAAAGTATAAGAAATTTTTGGCAAAAAAAAATCTGTGTATACAATTTATATAGAAAACTGAGCTATTTAATTTTAAAAATGCTACTATATTTTTAAATTCTATATTATTAATCTTAACCCTGAAAATTTCATAAAATGGATTTACCTTTTTGTATGCTAGAAAATTGCTATATTAACCCCTTAACTGTATTTAAAAAAAATTTTTATTTATCCAACAAAAATTAAATATGCATAGAGAAATAGTTTTTATTTGGTAATTAATATGATAATTTTTATACTTGAAATATTAGAGATACATAAAGATATTTTTAAGGTTAACACATTAATAACTTGAAAAACTTAGATTTAATTTAAAAATAATTAAATTATTAGTGGTGTAATGAAATATCATTGTCAAAAATTTGTAGGTTTGATTAAAATTAGTATTGTCCTATTGTAACTATTGGCATTTACCAAATCATAGTTTAAAATAATTTCTTGTTGTTTTAAAATATTACTTTTAAATTTGTATACTATTTTTGATCAACAAGTTAATTGAAATTTTTTGTACATTTAGTTCTAGTAGACCAAGAAAATTCTTAAAACAAATTTACATTGATTGTATATAAATAATTATAATTACACATAATCGTGTATAAAATTTAAAAATTGATTATTTATACCATTATATTAATTTTATAAATAAGGCTTAGGATTATTATTTTAATATTTATGTTTATAGGTAGTCCTAAAGCAGAAAAGTCAAATAATTTAACATACACTAAAGTACAACTTGAAACAGTTAAGAGGTAATTAATGTATTTTAATAGTACAGTAGAAGTCCGATAATCCGGCATCCAACAGTCCGAAATACCCGATAGTCTGGCATCGCTCCGGAAAATTGTAAACATGTTTGTTTTCTCCAAAAGAATGTCTTTAAAGCAAATAAAAACGATCAGGAGCTATTCGGAAGTTTTTAGGGTATTCGGGATCATCCGGACGAATTTACAATAGAGCAAAAAACTAATAACCAACAATACATAGTAGTATTTGGACCGGTCAAATTTTATCATATATACACATATGACAAAATTAGACCAGTCCGAATACACTGAAAGCGCGCCTAAAATTTCATAACAGGAAGTTGTATTACACAGTCTCATCAGTATTGTTCGGAAACAATTAGCGGCCGGCTAGTCTCAGCTATCACAACAAATACAGGTGCAGTGCAGTACAGTTAATCAATCACGAAACGTCTTCGCAATTTTTTTGTGCGTTGTTGTTTTATGTCCTTTTACATTGTAGTAAACTGTGTCTCAGTACTAGCTACAGTGCTTCAGAAATTATTGATCCCTATAATTATTAAATATAAATTTTATACTAAACGCCAAAAGTCAAGAAAACAAAAAGACATTCGTGACTTTTAAATCTAAATGAAATATGTATTACAGTACTTGCACATAAATTATATGAAATGTAAAACAAACTTTTTTGTATTTGCATACTGTATTTTTAGTTTAATTATTAACCTAATTGTTCTTATAGCAAAGCCTACACTAAAAGGAAAAGGCACCGCCCAATAGACCGGAATTTTCGATAGTCTGGCACGAAGGCGGTCCCGAACGTGCCGGATTATCGGAATTCTACTGTATTTCATAATCATGATTTTTTATTTTCAGAATAAACCAATGTAAAGATTATTATGAAGTTCTCAAAATTAGCAAGGAAGCCACTGATGCTGAGATAAAAAAAGCATACAAAAAAGTGGCTTTGTTAGTACACCCTGATAAAAATAATGCACCTGGAGCTGCTGAGGCTTTTAAAAGTTAGTATCAAAAATAATTTGCAATTCAAAAATAAGTATTTTTACTTCTTTGTTAATAATCAACAAATATTTTACCAGTAATTAGTTTTATTCTTCAATCAATTAGTGTTAATTTCAAATTTACTGATAAAAGTTGGTTTGGGATTATAAAATTTATTTTAAACAAAATCAAAAATATAAATTTCATTACATTATTAATCAATTATATTTTTATTTAGCCGTTGGCAATGCAGTAGCTATTTTAACTGATTCTGAAAAACGTAAACGGTATGATATGGTTGGTCATGAAAGAGCTACTTCAGATCATGTACATAGGAGTTATGATCATGGATTTGAATGTAAGTGTAATATTTATTTTACTTGTTACTTGATTTGTATTTATTTGTACATTATTTTTGTAGCTGATATAACAGCTGAACAATTATTTAACATGTTTTTCAATGGAGCCTTTCCTACCCGACAAGGTCCTATGTCAAATCCCTACTATACTCGAACCTATTCTAGACGTTGGCCGCCTGAACCAGACAATGATCATCATCACCAACAACAAGTAAATTTTTTTTTAAATATCATTAAATAATGAATAAATGTTTTAATACAAACATTTAAAATATTTTAGTACATTAAAAATTTAAAGGACAATTTCTTTATTTTAAATATTTAAATATATATTATAATATATATAATATATTATTTTAGTATATCTGTGAATTAAAAATATTTATTATATTTTATTTCATGTTTACAAATTAAATATTTTATATTTTCAATTAAGTCATATGAGTATTTTAAAATTAAAACTAAATTTATTTACAAAAGAAATGAAAAAAAAAGATTTGTTTTAATATAAATACAGTAGAAAATCAATTAACTATGACAGTAGGGACCTCAACAATCTTAATTAATGTTAGATTGTAAAATTTATAAGAATTTTATTCAAATGTTAGTCACCTATTTCTATTTTCTTTAAATTGGAGATTTTTAACTGGCAAATTTCTATGTTTCACAAAGAATTAAAGTCTGCATTTCATTTAATTTAACAGTTTTCCACTGTAGAATAAATAAAATTATACATTTCATGTACTTAAGTCAAATTTTTTTGTTTTAGGAATCATCCAGTATATACTTTCAGTTGTTACCAATTCTTTTATTGCTTTTGCTTTCACTTTTTTCAAATTTTTCATATGATCCTGTTTATAGTTTAAAACCAACTTCGTAAGTATTCAATGCATTTTAAGTTAACTATTTAATTTATTATAATAATTTGATTTATCATATGTAAAATTATTAGTAGATGATAATAATTATGATATTTATGATAATGTTTATATTGTAATGTCAAATAATATTTCATTCAATATAGAAAATATCCAGTTATGCGGCATACATCATTTAGAGATGTTACATACTATGTGAAAGAAAATTTTCATTCTGACTATACAGGAGATTTAAGACGTTTGGAACATACCATTGAAGAAGACTATATAAGTACTTTGCGTTCAAAATGTATTCGTGAAAAAGAGTATTGTAAGTAAAAAAATAATGCTGTATTAAATTTGTTAAAAGTACCAAACTTTTTATTCAGAAATAAAAAACCAGTATGATAGACATTAAAAAAATTATACATAATTTTTACACATTTTTTAAAAATCAAAATTGAATTTCAATTAAATCGTTTATTATTTTATTATACTTGCAATATTTTAGCAAAAGGATTTGTTAAAAATATAGTAATAAGCAGTTGTAGAAAATGAAAAAAAAAGAAAAATTAAATATAGATGATAAAATGGGATAAATATTAGTTTTCATTAAAAAGCCCATAGATTTTAAATAGTAAAATAAATTTTTAATTAATTAATTGGTTGAATAAATATAAGTATTATACAAAAATTAAAAAAAATTATTTTTAAAACTAATTATTAAAAAAAAAAAAATTATGTTTTTTATAATTTAGATGAAACATTAATGTGGAGAGCTCGTTTCAATGATGATGCAAATTTGTTCAATCAGGCATCAAAATACCAAATGAAATCATGTGAAGAATATAAAGAATTGTTAAAAACAAAATATAAATAGACTATTTATTACTATTATAATTGTTTTTGTTTAATGTAAGTTTTTTTTTATGTACAGAATTTATACATAATATGATTATGTATTGCATTTCACATTTATACATGTTTGGAAATCAAGTAGTTAATAATTTGTATCACATTATTATATTACAGTTAAATTGATATTTTTAGGAAAAAAGCTTGGTTTAGGTAATTTGTTAATGAAAATATATTAATTTGGTACCTAAAAAACACATTAATTTTAAAATAAAATCAAACTTCTTTCATGAAACATTTATTACTTAATTTAGTTTAACTCAAATATTTTAATAGATTTATTTGTTAGTTAAAGATCAGAGAAATGTATCAACAAAATTTTCTTTTTTTCTAAACCTATATCTTCTATTTTTTTTTTTTATGTTAAACTTAGAATTAGAAGGTATAATTTTAATAATAATTTCACTAATGTTAAACAGTATTATAACTAAAAAACAAATTAGATACTAGATTGTGGAGAATATTAAAATTCTAATATTGTTACACAAAATTGGGAAAAAAATGTTGGTTTATATGTTTCTTTGATTTTAACAGATACTATTAAAATGGAAGTTACTACTTCTAATAAGAAAGTTAAGATACTCTAATAAAATACCTAAGTATCTTGAAATTAAATTTATATTCAAAGTGTTCTTTCTATTAAAAACGTGTATGTCGATATTTAAAAATTATTATTTGAAAAATTCATACAAAAATAACAAAACATTTTTTTTCCTGGATTAATTATTGAAAAATCAAGGTGTGGTTTTGCTATGATATCTATACTTTGTCTAGTAATTAGAAATTTTTCAGTTTTCAAAAAATTAGTACCTTACCTTTAATAAATTGCCCTGTATTTTGGACGTCATAATAAAAAAATATCTTTAGCAAAACTCGTAAGACAAGTTTGGGAATAACTCTAATGAATGTCAAAGTAATAGTAGTTACTAATAAAAGGTAATAATAACAAAATTAAAATCTCCTTAAATTTGTTTAGTGGATATGAAGGATTGTATTAAATTTTGTTAATATATATTAACATAGAATGCACCTAGAGACAAGAAAAAAAATAGAAACGCTAAAGTTTCGTTCCTAAAATAAAACTTGTTCCAGGATTCCATTCATTTTGGAACAAATTCTTTCTTGATACTGTCGTTTATCATAAGATCTCTTCTGTTATCGTTCTCTTAGTCTTTTTCTTTACAACATAGACCAACATTTTGTACTGTAAATTAACACGTAAAAATTAAATTGTTTACAAATTTTAATGACTGTACATTAATTAAATATTTTACTATGTCTTTTTTTTTTAGTTAAAAAAAGTATTTTCTAAATTAAAAAAATACTTTATGGGATGCCTTAAATTATAATAATTATTAAAAAAAAGTATTGCAAAATATTAACTTTATCAAAAGTTATAGAATTTAATATACATGTTGGAACACCATGTATAATAGTGAGACTGAATATTTAATATAATGTGGTTTAATCCAAGGTATTCTTCCGTGTTAGCGAAAAATAGATCTCTATAATCCAGTTTTACAAGGTTAAATTAATGTAATTATATAAAGTCAATGACTTAAGTAGAATGACATTTTTTTTTTTGTAATTATTGTATTATTTTTGTAATTTATATTATTATATTATGTTTTGTAATTTGTAATTTTGTAAAAATTGATATTTTTTTATTGATTTCATTATAGATCCGTATTTTTCTCAATTTTCCAATCATGCAGTATTTTCTATGTTCACCCCTTGTACCTTATAAGGGTGCCAATTTTAGTTTTTTAAATGACAATATATATGAATAATTAGCTTATTTAATAGACAATGATCTAATTAAATAAATAACTGGTCAAAAACATTTTTTAACAAGTATTTAGGAAGTTATTGACATTTTAGTGATGACTGGAAATGTTCGCGGGTGTTGTTGTTTATCACTTGTAATTTCCGGGTCATACTCTTCCTCCTGCCTTAGTATAAAAATGTTAATAACTTCCTAAATACTGGTCCAAAAGTTGTTTTTGATCAGTCATTTTTTAATTAGATCATTATCTATTAATTAAGCTATTATTCATATGTTGACATTTGAAAAACTAAAGTTGGTACTCTTATAAGGTACAAGGGATGAACATAGAAAATACTGCATATATTGAGAAAAACATGGATCTAAAATGAAATCAATAAAAAAATTATCAATTTAATTTTTATTTTTCGATTAATTAAATGGTTAATTATAAATAAGTCCACTACATAGGTTAAAAGCATATACTTAAGTGAACTTAAACGTAACCTACTTATAACATTCAATATCTTACGTTTGGTATTGAAATAATTAGTAGGGGATAATTACGCTACTATTATAGCAAATAAGGGCGGAGCTTAAACGTGGCGTGATATACTGGCAGGGTGTGAGACGCGGTCGTCTAGCTGTTTGCATTGGCAGGGCTGTATCCTCGTGTGTCAAAGCATGTGCGTTGTGTTTGTGTAGTGTGCACTGTGCACTGTGCTGTGCGTATCATTATTTGCTTCAATATAGTGTACAACGGCTGTGTACACGATTTGTGCAACTGTGAAGTCTTATAATTTTTTATTAATTTAAAAATCTGTACTACACATACATTAAATAACTTTTATAAAACAGTCACAGAAAATAAAGGTAAGATGTTCTATTTAGTATTCTTATTGGGGTGTAATTCAAACAAAAATTGATCATTGATATCGTAATAATTAATTCAGGAGGGGGTCATCATTTTTAGTATATAATGACAGCGTGGGGGTGTGTGTTCATGTTAACAAATAATTTTAAATAGTTTTAATAAATTCTTTAGGCAAATCATTAATTTTTATTATAAGTTCAATTTTTATTTTTATTGCCGTTAAATGTTCCGCTATTTTTTCATTATCGTTTTATGAGCCATATTAAATAAATAATATTTTTCATTTTATGTATAGTATGCCTATATATTATTATATTTATTTGAAATTAATTTTTGTATAACTTACATTTAAAAATGATAACTGAATAAATTTTATTTATTATTGATTAGGTTTTTTTTGTAATATCAATTTTATTGAGCAGATATTTGAGAAAACGTTACTCTTATTAATTAAGATGTGATATTAGTTTTATTTTGTATTTAACTTTTCTTCCATTTTTCGGTAAGATTAAGATTTTAGGTCAATAATTATGCTTAAAAATAATCAGTAGATGCATAGTGAAAATTATTTTTAGCTTAAAATTTGTAAATTAAATATGTTTTGTATTCAACGCTAAACATTATTCTTGCTTCTTGGTGAATTTTATTAAATTATTCGCTTAATTTTTAATAATTGTAACTTCATGATTTCATAATCCCTAATCTGATAAGAATTCATCTCATCCAACTTGTTCTGTGTTTCATCCCTGGAAGAAACGCTACTTACCAGGGATTGCATCATGTTTACAGAGCATTGAATTATCATGGAAGGTCTTCGATTATTCTTAAATTTCACAGAAATATTGTGCCTTTCTTTAGATAAACTTCAGAAAATTCTAGTTTTGTTGTTTTATTTACAGCCAAGTGTGTGCTGTTTACGCACATAAGATATACCTGATACCACACATAGTGAACGTTCGTGTTTTATTAATAAACACTATTGTAAATATTTTTAAATTAAAATTTTTGTTATTTTCACATTAAACATTATGTCGCCTCCGTTAAAAAGTAACCAATGTTATCATCAATTTTACATTATAAGTTTCTTTTTAAAAAATGTTAAGATTTTGATTTATATTTAATAAAATTATAAATCAACTAACAAAATTTTTATTTAATTAAAAGTTAGTACCTTAAAAAATAAACTTAAAAAAATAATATAAAGATATGTTCACACTTTTACAACAACAACCATCATTGTTAAATACTTAACAATTTGACTAAACTTACATTGAATAACTAGTGAACAATAGGAAAAATGTGTTTATTAGAATTATAAAAAAAAAAAATCATACAAATTTAATAAGGTGGTAATAATTAGTTGCATATTTTTTTAGTGATTTTTTTTTTATTTGTGATTATTTGTTGTATTAACATTTGTTTCTTTAGGTAGTTTAATTAAAAAATCTGATCTACAACCATGTAAAGATATTTCGTATTTTTTTTTTTATACTATTTTTGACTTGAACAACTTCTAATTAAACTGTCTATTGAATTTTGTATTTTTATTTCATAAACATTTCATATTATCTCATATACGACATAAGTTCTAAATGATAAACTTTATTGCGATTAACTGTTTACTATAATATAATATAACTTGACTCCGTCTAAAATTTATCTTTAAGTTTTAAGCATAAGTATTAGTCTCTTCCTACTATTAATTATCACATAATAAGATACTAGTTTTATAAGAATAAAATACAAATTTGTAAAAAAATTCGTTCATGTTTTTGAAGTAACATTTATGTTCATTAAACAATCTACTACTCTATTATATATTAAATTGTTTTTAAATTATATACGATCATATATGTATTACGTAAATTACAAGTCTTTAATTATATTCCACTTAAAATCATTATTGAAATTTCAAAAATATTGTAATTTTCTTAATTGAATAATTGAGTATGAGTAACACTTGAACATAATGTACTTAATATAGCTTAAGTAAGTTATTAGACATTTTATCGATTTGAAATAACATAAAATGTAAACTGCATAATAATTTAAAGTAGTTGATAATTTATAATTAAGTGAAGATTTTGATTAAAATTTAATCAATAAATACTTATTTTAAATAAAATTGGTAATTAGAAATATAATTCCATAAATATTATAGAATTAATTTATTATTGCCAAACTTTGGAGTGACGCTAGAGGTCGGTCTTAAAAAAAAGGTTAATATATAAAAATATATTAATAGTAATTTAATTTTTTTCTTAATTTGTTGTGGTTATTTATAAATTTCGTTTTTAGTACTATTTAGATTTAAATGAATGTATGATATTATTCATAATTTTATGTATTATGATATTATGTAACATGATCAGTTTATAAAATGATGAGTATAATGAATGATTGACTTTTTCTTTTATTAAATATTTGTTAATATTTTATCTATATAATCTATAATATAATAAAAGATATCCCAAGGATTAAAATTCACGTCATGTCCGTTAATAATTATAATATTTTGGAGCTATAAGATCTTTTTAGAGGAGTTTTAATGATTTTTTTGTCAATATTTGTGTATAAAACATTTTATTGTATCAGTGCCTAAAACTAGGGATTGCCCAGGCCATGAGCGCTATGTATATAATAATAAACACGTATATATCTGATTGATATCATCATTGAACAACTATTTTATAGGTATACAAATTTGTAAACACAATAATTTTAGTGGCATAATAATTCTTATTTTCTCCTAATTAAAATTTGCATTTTATTATGAAATTTTATAATTTGGTAAAATGTAATAAAAATTATGTTTTTAAATATTGATTATTTTTCAAACTCTAGATGAACGGTGTTGAGTAAGTAAAACTTGTTATTTGATTATTAAGTCTTTTGTTGAACCAGTTGTACACTAGTAGTAATGGCCTTGAAACAAAATGTACGATTGTTATAATACTGCCGTATATTAATAACCTGGGTCACTCTAGTGACCCCAGGGTGTTTTACTCTTTTTATATGTTTTTCAAAAAAATTTTCAAAATAATAATAAAAAAAGTATCATTGCCTTTTGTGATATGAAGTTTTTTAATTTTAAGAGACAATTTTCGTGTTTTAAATATGTATAAAAATTAAATTTTTTCAACATTTTTATTCCTACAACCATCCGAAATTGGTTATGCTGAAAATTGTTCAGTATTATTTTATACATATCATCAAATAGTATATTATATTTAATATAACTTTTAATTATTCTATAATGAAGATATATTTAACTAGTTATTATACTGAGTGATTAATTTATCTAAATACTAAATTAATAAAAAAATAAGAATAATATTGATCTTTTTTTTTTTGTTTCTTTTGTTCGATGTTTTTTTTTTCAATTTATCTAATAAAAATTGATCACTTGTGGCTAATTAATTAAGTAAAATTAAAACTATGTTAACGTTGATAATGGTAACATTGTTTCCGACATACGTATCCGCGACTTTTCATTAATTTTTTGTGGCTTTGAGTTTAATATTTTTAATTTTTCAATTTATCGTTCATAATGTATTTTTGTTTTCATCCATTATACCTTATGAAGGTATCAACTTAAATTTTTCAAGCATATCTAACGAGCTCATTTATTAAATGTTATTTGTACTTGGGGTTAGAGGTACAGATATACTTAGTATTAGTACTAAGTATAACATACTTAGTTTTTCTATAGTTTTTATACAAAATAAACTTTTACTATTATTATTATTATTGGAGATAGGCTATTTTTAATCTTCGAAAATTAAAAAAATGACTTGGTCAATAAAAACTTTTGGACCATTATTTCAGAAGTTAAATACAATTTAAGTTAAATAACTGGTGGTGAAGATTGGTGCTACTATTTTTATAACTAGACATTTTCCTGCTCTACTCTTTCTCCTGCCTAGGTTTAATTATGTCAATAACTTAGGAGATACTGATCCATAAATTGTTTTCATAGTATATAGAGTTTTTAAAAGTAAGGAAACAGGTTTATTGTTACGAACAATAGATATTGTTTGCCTTATTAACTAAACATTCTATATATAAATATGTTTATTTATTCATTAAATTTCGAATCATAGCTTTATTGACTATTAGTAACAAAAAATTAATAATAAGTTTTCCATATCAAAGTCAGGTAGAATGTTATTTATGTCATTCATTTTTAGATGACGTTGTTTAATTGACTTAGTTGTGTCAATTTACATCAAAGTTTACCAAAACATATAGAAGATGTATAATTTGAGCCAAAATAAAAGTCGTTATATCTTTCTATTGTCTTTTATGTCTCTATAAAAGAGAATAATTTATCGAGTTAAAATATATGGGGAAAAGTTTAAAAGATCTGGAATCCCTAGAAATCAGTATATAATATATACTTTATATACTAATATATTTTGTTGTTAAATGAAAAAATGGAAAATGTTATTTTTTAATCATAAATTAGAGATATATTTCTAAATTTCTAATTATAGAGTAGTAAATTTATAAAAATCGGATAAAAAAAAACAGCACAGAATGGTCACGGCACAGTGGTGATATGGCATAGTTGGGTCAAGTATAATGATATCTGACAGTGATTAAAATCACTATCGTAGAAAACGCTTCGATGCAAATCTTTGGATAGTGTTTAATTTTAAAAAATTGGTGGATTATTCCAAAAGCTACATGATCTGCTATTTCCTTATTGTATCCTGATTAGGATAAACGCATCATCGTAAAACTAATACCTTCTCAGCTTCGCATCAAAGTTAATAATAATATATCAGTTTTGTTTAAAAATTGCCCATTTATAATTTCATTTTTTAATATAAAGTACTATATTTTATGTTATCTTTTTCTTCCTAAAACTGTTATGACTTTTTGAAAAATAGATAAATCAAAAGAAATGTATTTTTGGATACATTAAGTATTTCCCTTTTTAGGTATATATTTTTTTGAAAATCTAAAAGTTTATACTGTGTTTTGTGTAGTTAAATAATCTCTAATAAAAATATAATGGTTATGTAAGATTTACATCAAAGTGTTTTTTAGAATGGTGATTTTAATCACTGTCAGTTTTCAATACTATACTAATGTGCCACCATTATGCTCCCGTCTCGAATGTATTGAGTTTTTTTTTATATATTTTTCTGAGTTCCTTCGACTTTCTATAAATATATGAATATATACGGGGACATGGTCTTGAAAATATACCAACTATCATGCAAAAAAAAAAAAATAATAGTAAATCCAGTTCGAGAATCGATCCCATTGATTTTATATTCAAATATTAATAGTTAAAAGAGTCGTACTATCGAAAAATAATTTGATAATTAAATTATCTAAAAGACTAATCTATTTTAATTTTGGTGCAAATTACGAACTATATTTTCGTTTAATAAGGATGGGTTTTCTAAGAAGGTAACTTAATCTTATCTGAAGAAATTTCATCCCCAATGAATATCACTTACTAATGTTGTTAATAAATAATTCTATACTAATACAGGAACGGTAGGATTTTAGGAGAGACGATCGCACACCTCGACCAGCGCTATGAAATTAAGACATTTTATTGGTCATCGTTGGGAATTTTGTAGCCAGAAAATTTTCTTTCGGAAGAACTGTTATTCTGGGTAGAGATATAAATACATAAAAGCAAATATCACTATATTTTCTAACGAAAAAAAAATATAATAATTTCATCATGTAAAACGTAGGCGAACTTATCAACTTCAACAATCTAGTGGCGTAGCTACAAATGTGCTGCAGAACTTCGGAAAACTTAAAAAATTATACTTATTGCTGTATAAAAATATTTTTTAGGTAAAGATTTAAATTTTTATGACTTAGCACACCAGTAATAAGGGTGGTCGACCCTAAATAGTTGGGATAAAAGCGAGGAAGATTAAGACGAGCACACCAATGTTATTTTAGTTGTGCCACTGTATTATCTTTCTTTAGTACACTCGTTATAGTTTGAATTCAAATATAAGATTTAACATTATTATTTAAATATTACCTGATACGGTATTGTATAGTAAACGATTAATTCCAAAACATCTATTTTTGTTTAAAACCATTTTTATTGTGTCATCTCCGTAACAGTTTCGTCTAGGATTTTATGATAAATTATAGTAGTCATACTGATCTTCTCTTTTCGAAACTTATTTAGATTGATGAATTGACAACTTAAACATGCAACAGAATTGCATGTTTAATTGAACTCAAACCATTAAATCTTTATGGTAAATTGAAATTGTAATTTTAAAAATATAATATATTATTATTATGGCAAGATAATAAATTATTTTTCAGTCATGTATTAAAACTTATACAATGCTTTCGTTTCATTTCTTCAATACAATTAATTAATTTTAACTACTGTCATGAAGAATACCTATATTTTATACATTGAATGAATCAAGTAAGACCAATTGTAAACTATTAACATTCGACTGAGAGATATATAGGGGTCATGTAGATACATGAGTTAGAATTGATGCGTCTGCAATCGTTTTACCATGATGTCATTACATCTTTACTTCAATGTATATTAAAAATTCATTCTATATTACTTTAAATTCGTTAATTAATGATTATTTCGTTTTTTTTTGTAATACTAAAAAAAATACATAATCTTATTTTGGTTAAGATTCTGATTTTTTTAAAACTGTGCAATACAAATTATTACATTATTCAGAAACACTAAAGATTTCTTATTTATCTTAATTATTAAAATATTCATTTTTTAAAACAAATTAAGTGTAATTTTGTCTGTATAATTTTAAACACTTATGTAAAATTAATATTCAGGTCTATTTATTTACTATTTTTTTAAATTCAGTTTTTTGAAAAATTACTTAAAAATAATAATTTAATAATGTATAGATTATATATGCAATATTAATAAAATAAAAATAATGGTGTGATTAACGAGATAAAAAGAACAACATAGTAAATTAAACTTGTATAAAAAATAACAATTTTTGGAACAAATAAAATAATTAATTTTATGACTTTTGTTGAAATTTAAATAAAAATGGGCCATTATGCACATATTAAAATCAATAAAATATTACTAAAGACAAATTTATCCTTAACTTAAGGATCACCAAGCATATTAATTAAAGTTCCATAAGCGTTATCCTTTTTGCTCCTATGTTTTTATATAGATTATAATGCCCTATGGAAGATATCAGTATTATTTTAGTCTTGTGTTATATATAGCAAAACATAGTATTTATTATATTATGTTCTGAGATAGTGAATTACAGATTACTGTATATTTTTAAAAGTAATTCATACTATATTTATGCAATCATAAAAATTGTATAACCACATTTAAAATTTCATTCAAAAAGTACTTGAATACGATAATAATGACCATGACACAACACGTCATAGTAATACGTTCCTAGGCTTATCGTTTTATTTTGGTTTTGTATCCCTACCTTATTGGACTTTGGCAACAATACCTCTTTTGTTGGTATGCAGGCCTATATATGATGTCATGTTGCTAAAATTAGAGTAAATCACTCACAATTTGTGTTTTATTATATTAATTTGAAAAAAATTCTACTTAATTTAAACAATTTAATTATTTTTTTATTAAAATAATTTTTTAAAAATGTTTTAGTCTCATTAGTCTTCTGTTGAAATCGACTTAGAATTTTAAATACATTTTAGTATCACAACCAAAACAAAATTCCTGGTATTAAAATGTAACAATGACTAAATCCATACCGATAGAAATTATGTGAAATATTATAACCTAACTATTATTCCTAAAAATTTTGTAGGACTGCAAATAAACGTCTTGTGTATTTTTTTAATTACACTATGGATTTCACGTAATACATCGCGCAATTCTTAATTTACCATACTTTTAGAAATGGTTATGCCTCACGTGTAAAATTGTTAAATGAATGCACGTTATCTATAAATTACTAATAAAATAAAATATATTACTAACTTTAGTAAAAGCTTATTAAACATTATGACTAATGTAGTGTAAACACATCGTCATAATTCTGATATTTACTTCATCGTATGTTTATCATAAACCAGTGGTAATTTTCTACCGTCATTAAAACTTTTGAATTAAGTGAAATATCAAGTTATTTAAAAAAACGTATCCTGAATTTTATTTACAACAAGGATTTCATAATTTTTGTGTTAAATTATATACATAATATAATAAGTAAAACACATTTAACTATTTTTTAACAAAAAAATGCATTATACATCAAAAATCTGTGTATGTAGCATGTATAAAGCACGTTAGTACTAGAAGGCTTTCTTAAATATTAAAGATACCCAGAGTATCAAAGCCATTCTAAATGATTTGATTAAATCTTATCATACAACAAAAAAATGTTAGCAATAAATCTCTTTGTTAAATTAGTAAAATATTTTATTAACATTACTTATTAATTTATATTACAATTTTATTGAATATTTTTAAATATTGTTCTAGTGAGGTTTAGATTTTAATTGATAGTTAAAACTGGTATAAAGATGAATTCATACGTTAAAAAGATTAATTAATAACTGATTTTATTGTTTTATTTGTTATGCAGTAGAAGAGGCCATTGAAAGGTATTATTTAACTTTAATTTATAGCCTATACATGACAATTAAAATTGCCTATCATTCTAAACTTAGCTGATAAAATTTTAGTATGTAATACGTTTAATTTTTTTTTAACCGTGTATTAAGAAATTCTTTTTAAATTATGGTCATCTACCTTTCTTTTCTTTTTTGTCTACAATTTAAAGTATAAGTAATTCAATAAATATAATATATTCATATATATATATTATGCAATAATTACTTTAAGTATAATATATAATTTTTTGTTTTTAAATTCATATCATCATACGAAACTTTAAAAACGGCGTGCAAAGTTCTGTAAACTGCTGTCTTTATATTAAAAATGTAGAGATAATAATTATTATCAGTTTAATACAATTAAATTTGACTTCTTATTTTAATGGTTATATATAAGTATTCTATAGTTAAAGTAGGTTAAATAATAAAAATAAAAATTAATAGTCTACAAGAAAAACTATTGTAAGTTAAAAAATTGGATATATTCCGTGTATTTGTTTTTGTGAAACATACTAATATTTTTTGAAAAAAAAAAACAAGATTTCACAATTTTTTTTTTAAGTTTGCTCAGTATAAATATCTATTTTATGCTTAACACTTATTCATAAATTTTAAATTTGAACTTAAATTATTATAACTACTATTATTACTACAATTGAACAATTTTATAATTTTTGATAAAACAAAATTATAGTTAATTATTTTATTGTTCGGTATTGATTTAAATAACTTAATTAGACTTATTGTGCGTTTACATAGTGAATTGTTTAATAGAGATGAAGACTGTTGATCGTATAGTTAAATTATTTTTATATTCATGTTTTTAACTTTATACTCTTGACTTAAATGAATGCTCTAGTAGTGTGTGTATTAATCGAAGGGTCATGCAAACGTATTTCTTTTATCAGTACGATAAGAACCATAACGGGGCATACACTGACTATAAACGCATAACGTTTTAGTACTAAATCAATCGTCTTATTATATCCCACATTGTTTCTATTTATTTAATTTTCTAAAAGAAAAACCAGTGTTATTATACTTTTGAGTATTTGTTTTTTTTTTTTTTTTTNNTTTTTTTTTTTTTTTTTTTTTTTTTTTTTTTTTGTAATAGTGACTACTGCGGTGTCTTCATGGACGATCCGATGGAATTGCGACTGTGATAGGCTTAAAGCCAACTATTTTAAAATTATCAATTAAAGAGCAGACCGGTTTAATTATCTGTTAGATACTTAGTTTTGTGTTAAACTTTACTATGGAAGTCCCAGATTCTAAGTATTCGCCAGTGGACACACGCGGCGACGAACACACTGCCACAACTAATACAAATAAAACTAGTAACTCTGCTGATGAAGCTGGGAATAAAATGAAGAAATTTCTCACCACTGTGCCTACTACTAAAGTACCTAAGTCTAAATCACCAACAAATAATTGTAACAGTAAGTACCACTTTATTTTTATCAAAATACATAACAAAAATTATTCCTATATGTATAAAAAGAATTGAATTCGGCTAATTTTAAGTAGTAGGTAGCAGGAAAACAAATGATTACTTAAAATTATCTATAGTTTATAGAAATTAAATTTAATAGATAATTTTATTTGTTTACTTAAAAAAAACAACAACAATTGAGTTATTATTGATATTATTCAATTATGAGTAATAATTTTACCCAATAATTATCTTGGAATAGCACAAAGCACAATGCCTATGATGATGTGTGTTGAAAATAATTTTCAACACTTACAAAATATCGATAATAGTCATCGAAATTGCTATTAATAATTTCTAAAGTAATCTATATTCTTTATTTTTACTTAAGCACACAGGGAAATCTTATAAATCTAAATACAATTTTTATGTGGAAACTAATTACTTTAATTATCTGTAAAATATTTCTTATACAATTTTTCAATATTGTTCTACAATGTTTTTAAATTATTATTATTAAATAATTATTATTTAATAATTAATATTATTATTATTATTAAGTAAAAAAATTTTTTTGCAAATAATTTTTTTCATAAATTTTGTAAATTATTTTACTGTAATAAGAAATATCAATAAGAGGTTAAATCAGATAAAAGGTAATAATGACCTTAGATTCATATATGGTGAAATTTCATATATGATAACAAATATTTTTATTTCTCTTTTAGATAGCTGATTGTTATTATAAAATTATGCTTAGTGTATTATATAAAAACATGTATATTCTGTGACGGTTAAAAATTAATTAGTTGTTTTCTTGGAAAACAAATGAATTGATGGTGTTTGTTTTTTATTTTTTTGCGTGTTAGTTTCCTTTAGCTACGTGGTTTAACCTTTGGCATTTTGTCAAAACTAAACTACATTTAGCAATATAAAAATGTATGTTACACAAGCTATAAAAATATTAGTTATTAATATAAATAATACTAACTAAAACCTTGTTAATAGTTGGGCTTTTTACTAATGATTATAATTTTAATAAATATGAATAATTGTGATTAGTTAGTGTTATAATTTATAAAAATCAATTTTCATATCGAAAAATAAAGGTGGTAAAAATGTTAAAAGAGTGGATTATTTAGAATACATAGTGTGTCATTTATTCTAGTAAAAAATAAGAGTGATTTCAAATTCTAAAAATTAGAATTGTAATGCAAATAAAAACTCCTATTTATATTGATAGCAAGAATAAATGTATATAGATATATATAGACCAGAAGTAAAAAACAATTTGGGAGATTATCCCACATATAGTGTGATTTATTAAAATTACTATATCCATTTTTTTTTTTTAAAGGTCAAATCAAAATTTGATTTATTTTATAAACCATAGTAAGTATTAAGTTAATTGTAAGAAAAATTGATTTCTTAGGGTAGATTTTTAGGGTGACTTTTAATAATTAAATTGGAACCTTATATTAGTTTTTTTACTATTTGAAGAAGAATACTTAGAAAAAAGTTTTTTAGTGGTTGACAGCTAGTTTTGTATTATTACTTTTTGAGACATTTGCATTTAAACATTTAGTAAAGGGAGGAGCAGAGGTTAGCGTTTAATAATACTACGGGTAACGAATAAGAATAATTTTTAGTAAAAGCAAAAGGTGCATGCAACATTAAAAAATCTTATTTGTGCGTCATTTTAAACAATACATTTTTTTAGATTTTATTTTTTTTAGTATTTATGTGGCATAAAATAAAAGAATATTTTTAATAAATTAAATCCAATTATGTTCAACAATATTACGCATAGTTAAGCGTTTAGTGGGTTATTATTTCGTTGTATTGGAAAATACAAATTAAAAATATTCTTATTTATCACTTATTCAGAGACTCACTACTCTGATGTATAGGGATCCACCGGAATTTTTTCGTTAATCCGGAAAAATAGCCATTATATTAATAACTTAAAATAGCACCTTATCAAAAGTAGGATAAAATAAAATATGTATATGGGGATAATTGAGACAAAATAAATTAATTTTTATTTATCAAGGATTTTAATACATTTGCATGGACAATTATCTATCATCTGATCTTTTTCAATGGCTGTTTAACTAAATTTGTTTGGATATGTATTTATACAATTTTAAAACAAATATGATATACGAGAAATCTTTAGAAATGTTAAGATAAAATGTAATAAATTTAAATACATTATATGTTTAGTATTATGTAAAAATTTTAGAAATATTATAAATTAATAAAACTGTGTTAAACGAAAATATTGTCTATAAAAATAAGTAACAGTACAATATTTGACTTATAAAGTTAAAATCTCTTTGAATTATAATTCGATTTCTGTTTACAACCACACAATGTTGAATTTATTAAAATAGTTCATCACAAGAATTTTGAGGGGCGTTGCAGCCTCCTCATTCCCCTGATTACTCTAATTCTGTATTTTACTATGTGGATCTGAATTATATGTTGTATTACATAGTGTGTATTACATTGCGCAACACTTTTTCACTAAATAATATGATAGTAGATTTTAATTGAACTTCGTCGGTGATTCCGAATCTGGCCTAAAAATGTTTAGATTGTTTCTAGTTTTTTAGATTATTACTAATTAGTAAATACCAGGTAATTACGTAATCATAATTGTTCAAAAAAAAAAAAAAAAAAAAATAGCACACTATTACTCAATAAAAGTTGACAAACTTAAAATCAATTTGTAAACTGATGTAATCTTAATACTCATATAGCAGTTTTGTATTAATTATTTATCATTGAACGAAAAAAAACCATCGAAGATTTCTCAATGTGATTGACTTAGACAATGAAAAAGTTTTAAAAACAATTGATAATCCCCCATTTCTAATCTACTTCGTATGTGTTTAGCATTGATAATGGTAACATTGTTCCCGATTTTTTGGTAATTTATTATGGATTTTTGAGTTAAATATTTTTAATATAGTTTTGATTAATTTAATACTCCGGCTACGTACAAACCATCCGTCCCGGTTATGTTTATCAATTATCAATGGTTAAGAAAATTCTTTTAGGGGAGGCTGCTATGGCCCTCATATATATATATATACAGGGTGTTCAGTAAGTCAGGAAACAGGTTTCTATTGTTCTCATTGTTACAAACAATGAGAACAATAGAAACCCGTTTCCTGACTTACTGAACATCCTGTATATTAATATTATTAATATAAATAATAATAGCCTCAAGTGATCAATTTTTATTATATCATACATAAATAATGTTTTGAATGTTTATATTGTCTACTAAACAATAACTAGAGGATTTTTTTTTTTATTACAATAAGTAAAATCATAATGACAGAAGAACGACTATTATATGTGTTTTCTATTAATATTTTTCTTATCAAAAATCCACAAAAATGTATTTTTCCTTGCTGTTTTGAATGACCTTAGTGAAAAAATATAATGTATCATTGAATTGTTCTATATTTTCTAATGTCGATCACTTATATTAAAATATTAAGATTTTCTTATTGCTTTCGTTTCTCGGATATAATATAAAATACTTGATACTAATTATGCATGAAAAAAAAATTATGTAGTAATAATTTAATAAATAGTTCAAAGATTATAACATAATAGATTCGGGACATTGTTAATATCGAATTTAAATAACATTTCAATCAAACTAATAATTGTGTTCACTTAAAATATAATTTTGTAGCCTAAAAATGATATTTTTAACGTCTATAAAGTTGGTTTTTTTACCTGCATTTGTTTTATATGTAGACCATATTGCTAATTAATTTTGGTTATTTTCAATAAATATTTTAATATTATATTATATTAAAAATTATTTAATTTGATTTTAATTTTTTTTTTTTTTTAGTACCACTTATCATAGGATTCTTATTAAGTTTGATTCTTACTATTTATATGTGCTTCACTGATCTATTCAATAGTGAAATTTATAAGGTATGAACTCTTTTTTTCTCATATTTTATGTTTTCTGAAGACATACAATTTCAAATATTTATAGAGACTGACTATAGCAAATGGTAGTTTACTTTATGAATCGTGGAAAGAACCACCAGTGAAACCTTTACTATGTATACACATATTTAATTACACAAATGTCAATGAATTTATGAATGGTGAAGAACCAAAACTTAAAGTTGAACAATTGGGACCTTATTGTTATAGGTATTGATTTAGATATTTTATTTTATTTATTCAGTTTTTAATATTTATTTAATTAGTTTTTTTTTCTAGAGAAACTCTTTATAGAGTTAACATTACTGACCATAAAAATGGTACTCAAACTTTTAATGAAATGAAAGTTCAAGAATTTGATTATTCTTCATCTAATGGGTCAGATTCAGATGTAATAACAGTACCAGATATTCCTTATATTGTAAGATTACTATTAAACATTTTTGTTTATAAAAAATAAAAAAAAATTATAATTTGTTAGATATTTCCAATATAAATGTGTATAATGATATTTTTGATGTTTATGTATGTATATAATAGATAACGTTCAGCCGATTGACTTGTTCTATTGTCCACTCTGGCAACAGTCAGTTCTGCAATGCTTAATTGACTACTGGTCACAGGACAAGTTAATATTTTTCATGTTTTGCTTTGCGTGTTGGTCTGCAAATTATTTATTGTTTGTTTTATACAAAAATTTGTGTTGTTTAAATATTCTTTGCTGAATCAAACATTGTTAATTTTGTAAATTCGTCATTCATTTTTTCTCCGTTTCTCCTAGTGTGATTTAACAAATTTTTCTATACAGTGTGACACGCAATACCTTCAAAAGTATAAGATAAAATATAATTTTTTTCTCTTCGATTGTTATTAGTATCTAACATATTATTTGACAAAAAAATATATAGTCCTATCTGCCTTCTTTTTCTCTTTAAATTTTATTAACTTAAGCTTTTTAAATGAAAATACATACTAACTTACAAACTAGAAAATTATCTATTTAAGAAAATAATTGCAGTAATTCTTTTGGACTACTTTCTACCATGTTGGATAACATTTTTTAAACCAGTATTTTGAAAGTTATTAACAGTTAAATAGTAAAACTAAAGGTATAGCGTAGATCTCTTCGTCTTTATCACTCGGCATTAATAAGTTATACTCCTACCCTAACATAATAATGTTAATATCTTTTAAAATAACAGTTCAAAAGTTGTTATTGATCAGTCATTTTCTGATATATAAGTTAGCTAGTTAAATATGTATGTTTCCATTTAAAAAAACAAATATGATAAAATTTAAGGGGAAATAGGACTATATTATTTTGTATAGTTGTTGGTCTAGCCTAGTGGATAGAAATGTGTGTTTCGGCGCACATTAGGTTTAGGGTTCGATCCCTAGGGTGCCAACAAAATTTTTCTTGTAATCTTTTCATTGGTGATGTCTGATATCTGGTGCAAGCAGATATCAGACATCAATAGGAGAATAGTGTTTTCTTCTTTCTAATTTCTTGTGTCCTTATAGTTTCAACTTGTCCCTCTGTAACTTCTTACACCCGTAATAATATCTTTATCATTGTCTTTGATAACTTCAGTGGCATATGTACACATATTAATACGATTTTTAAAAAAGCTGTATTAATTGACTGCAATCCTTTCTAATACCAAATTAAATTATTATTTTCCATTCAAAAATTTTGTAAATTAATCTCTAAAAAATATCTATTTTGAAAAAATAAATTTATATTATTATCGTTCATAAACGATATAATCTTATTTTGTTATATAATAGAACAAAGTAAAAAACGCTTTTCTGGGAAAATTACTTAGCGTGCTCGGATTTTCAAAATTTTCTTTTTTAACGAAAGTACTCGGTCACCAGATTCTGGGAAAATTATTGGCGAAGGTCGGAAAATTTTTGAAGCTCGCCCGCGAGCATTTTAAAATTTCGACTGTTTTTTAGAAAAACGCTCGCTGACGCCAGCGTTTTACGACTTGAGTTTTGAAATTTTCACCAGACCTGCCCAATAATATTTCTGAGGTATGGTAAAAAAATCAATTCAATCCGTTCATTTTTCACCGTTTTACGAGCTTTTTTTTTTCACGCGCTCGAGACGCCAGGTCGTGCCGCCCGAAATTCTTGCGACACTACGACATGAAAACGTTTGTTTTTACGATTCGTAATCATACTACGGCGTTCTGCACGTGCCGAGGAAGTGCCAAAAATCTGAAAATTCGATATCCGATCAAAACTCTGGCCGTTATTAGCGTTTGAAATTCATCAAATTCCACGCACATGGTTTTAATATGCGCATTGACTCATTTCTGTGTATACGTTTATTCTGTACCTTAATTATATGGTGTAATATGTATTTTTATTAGGACACTATTTTGCATTTGCACATAGGACTATATTTTTTATCGAGGAATGTTATATTTAAATTTCAAGACGGTTATAATTATACAGGGTGTTCAGTAAGTCAGGAAACGGGTTTCTATTGTTCTCATTGTTTGTAACAATGAGAACAATAGAAACCCGTTTCCTGACTTACTGAACACTCTGTATAAGTTTGTACTTTCATTATAAGAACAGTACATTATTAATAATCTTTTTTTTCTCATATATGATATATGAGTCTATGAGTTTATCGTTTAAATTGGGATTCATCTATGACAATCTTTTCATCTATGACATCTATGACACAGTTATCAATATTTTTATCAAAATTAAATTTTTGGCATAGTCCCAATAACCTGCTAATTTTTTTGTAATTATTCTATAATATAAACACAATTATCATAATTAGAATATTAATAATTTTTGTGTATTTAAGGGAGATATTTCTGTTATCATTAATATAAAATTTATATTTAATTAAACATTGATATTATTTAAAAATATGTTAATAATGATAAAATAATTTTTTTTTCACGTTACAATATAATAATAACAATTTATTGCAAAACCACATTGGGTTCAAAAGTTGTGTATTTTTTTTATACTTTGGTTGGTTGAATAAAAAAATAAATAATAAGTATCATTATACGAAATATTACATTAAAAATATAATGTATTATACCACTAGGAAAATATTTTTTTATTTTTCTCAAAATCGGATATTTTGTATGAGTTTTTTGAAATAATTATTCTATTAAAATGCTATATTATTTTATTATGTTTGATTTAATATAAATTCACACAATGAATAAAGCTACTGTTAATGAGGAAACCTATATTTTATTTGTAATATAACCATTTATATAGCAGGTCAATATTGCTTGATATCAAATAATTTAACCTTTGTGATTTCTTTTAGAGTGCAATAGCTTTGACCAAAGATGAAAACTTTTTCATTCGAAGGACTATGTCATCTATTTTAAATCAAGTATCTGAAAATCCATTTGTTACTGTGACAGTCTATGATTTCTGTTTTGGGTATCAAGATAATGTAGTTAGAGCATTAACTACCTTATCTAAATTAGCTAATAAACCTCCACCTTTTGAAAAATTTGGTTTATTAACTAAGGTAAATTTTTATGAGGTTTGTTTTTAATTGTTTAAATAAGTAAAAATATCATGTAACATAGAGAGTGGGCGTAAATCCAGATCGATTAACAGTTCAAAATGGTCATAAAGATTTAAATCAAATGGGTCAAATTGTTTTACTAAATGGTAAAAGTATGTTGCACCCATGGAAATCAGATGAATGTAATGTAGTTGGTGGAAGTGATGGCATGTTGTTTCCTAGAGATAAAGTGCAACATGAACAGACTGTTCATTTATTTCACAAAGATTCTTGCAGAAAATTACCTCTTACTTTTCATTCTAAGGAAAAAGTATGTAAAATTATTTTATAATATAAGTGAATAACTATTAAATTGCATAAATATTTTTTATTAGATAAAAAGTGGAATAATTGGTCATGTTTATACTTTATCACCTAATGCTTTTAATAATTCTATTCCTGAAAACACTTGCTACTGTACACGTACACCATGTATGCCTGATGGGATTTTTGACATGGGTCCTTGCTCAACTAGTAAGTAATCATAACTCTTTATCTAAAGCTTGATTTACCATTAATTTTGTTCATAATTAAAATTGAATTAATTTACAGATTCTCCTGTAGTTATTTCATTTGCTCATTTTCTCCATGGAGATCCAACATTATTAGATGCTGTAGAAGGTCTTGATCCTGATCCCAAAAAACATGAATTTTTGTGGTTAATTGATCCTGTACGTAACACAAGCATAGTATAATTTTAATTTTAAAACTCTATTTTTATTAATTTTTACTTTATTGTAGATTCTTGGAATAACTATGGAAACTCAGATGAGAATACAACTTAATATACAAGTTCGTAATCCAAATGGTTATGGATCTTTGTCTAAAATACCTGACAATACTATATTGCCATTTACTTGGTTGGAAATAGTATGTATTAGCTGTTTATGGGAAAATATTAATTACTTATTTCATTTTATATTTTAGAGAACTGGAGAAATATCAACTAAATTAAATTCGGCATTGTTCCATTTGAGTTTTACCATTCAGTGGATTCAAATGTTCCTTATGTGCTTAGGCTTAGTTGGGTTATTAGGCACATCATTTTGTTTTATGCGTATTTTTTCCAGACGTTTCAATCCAAAAATGGTAATAATTACAAATGAAAATTTGCCTATGAGTGCGCCATGTGAAAAAATTCCTATTGTTTAATAATTGATTTTATTAAACTAGTTATAATTTACATTTTAAGTGTGAAAATGTAATTTTTTTTTAACTTTGAATATTTATTTTATATGTAAATAAACAAAAAATGTTCTGATTATCATTTTAAAAGTGATAACTTTGATCAATGCTATTTCACTTATGCCATGCTAGTTAATATAATTTTTTAACTTTTAAATAATACATAAGCCATTTAATTAAAGTTCATGTAATTATAGAAAAATTATGAAATTTAGAAAATATATTTTTTTATTTTAAAAAACAATAGTGTTTATTTATTAGAACACATCATTTTATACAGTTTTGCTCATGCATTGAGCAATTTAATCAATAATACTGGGAAATTGTAAACTTCTTTCAAGTGGTATTCAAGTTAAAAGTGGGTTGGCTAATATAAATGTAGTAATTTGTAAATGGGTTTCATTTATAATTAATAAGAAAATTGACTTTGGGTCTTTTCATTTTGTTAAAACTTATTTTACTATTAATTTAGACCAAAATATAATTAAAAAACCCAGCAAAGTGGGGTTGCGTAACAGTGGGTATGTGGCATAGTTAGTCAAGTATAATGAAATCTGACAGTGATTAAAATCACTATCATAAAAAACATAAGCTTTAATTTAATATACAAAATATATATATATATATAAGTGTCAGTATTTCCAGAACACATTCAAAAAGTAAGTTTAAAATTAACTGGTTTTATGGCGCCATAAAGACAGCATAAAATACATAGTAACATTAAAAAAAATTTTTTTTTAACTCCAAGCCCCTTCATAGTTTAGGTTTGAAAAAAAAACTTTATAATTTAAATACTTGCAATTCAATGGATAATATTGATTTACTGAATATTTGTCCATATCGTGGTTATATTACTTTATACTACTAATAAAACTGTCAAGTTTTATTTTTTATGTTTAATGCAAAGAATTGCAACAAAATTTTTAAAAAATTTTATTTTAATCAACAATCTTAAAAATCTAAATGAAGACCGTTTTTCTAGTATGGCACTGGAAATAATTATTTGTTATAATTTATTAATTTGTTATATATTTATTATAATTATGATTATGGCAATCGTATAAAGAAAAAGAAGGACTTTAAATTTTTATGGTGACTAGTTTAATTATTCTTTGTAATTATGTGAAATCATACTGTAAAAAGCATAAAGATAATAAGCAGAGATCACAAGACTATAATAAACAATGTACACATCAGCCATACTAGACTGACTTACTCTTATCTTATGTCTGATGAACTCAAACTATTTGTGATGCATCTTAAATATCCATATCTTCTTGAATGCCCTACTAACAAACTAGATATACTTCAAATATCAGAAAATGTTTATTAAAAGACATCCTAGCAACCGGAAAAGAAACACTAATCATTAATTTCCTCAAGACTAGTAAACTTGACACATTAATTTAAATCAAACAAACTACACTAAACAATTAATAAACCTATGTAATATTAAAATCAATTATGTAAACACTCAACACTTGTAACCTTTTCTTTTTCTATTTTTTGTATTAACCTAACACACAATGTAAATTTTAGTGGGCTCAAGAACTACCATTTGAAGAAGCCTATAAATAAATTTAAAAAAAAACGTTAAGCTAAAATGAAGTCATACTTAAATCTTACTTGAAAGCTTTTTTTAAAAAAGCAACATAATAATTATTAAGTTTTGATAATCATCAATAATTATTATTATTGTTGTAATAATTTTAAAAATTATGTTTTAAAATATTATAAATAGAAAATATCTCAAGTTTTCTATTTTGATATATGTAATATATTTAAAAATGACCTAATATTAATCAGAAAATTGTGCCTAAAGTGATGATTAAAAATAAAATGACAATTGTACATGACTAAAATAAATATTTTACAACTATAATGTAATCATATATAAAATGCTATAATTTAACTTCTTATGAGTAAAGAAAAATAATACTAGATAAAATATTTAATTTAAAAAGATTAATTTATAATGAAGTACCAATAATTAAATCACTTTGATCATTGACTAGAAAGTGATAAAGAAAGCTTGTTTTTTTCCTTGACATTGCATTTCTAAACTGTCCAGATTTATCTAAGCGTGATCGAGGAGGATCACGGATAAATATTTCACCAAAAACAGAAGCTGCAATTATAAGAAACACATAAAGTAAGCAAGTTTAGGGAAAACAAAAGTAAGTATTCTGTTGAACTTACCAATTGTTTTAACATCCAAATCATTGTCATTTACATGATTTAAAAGTTCTTGTAAAAAAGCACAGAGATATAGGAACACATTCTTACTTCGTTCAGGAAGTTGTGAAATAATCTAAAATAATTAAATAATTATTACTATTATATTAGACTTATTTCATCAGTTAAATTGTTTACAATTTAATGAAAAAATTGTTTATTTATTTATACAATAATTGTATTTTTAATTATTGATTAATTAATTAATTAGTATTATTTGTAATATTTTCTTCTTCTTCCTCGCTTTTATCCCAACTACTTGGGATCAGCCACCCTTATCCTAAACTTCTACTTGATACGATCTCCCACATCATCTACGCTCACATCAGCTGTCCTCATATCACATACAATAGCATTCCTCTATCTGTTTATTGGTCTTCCTTTATCTCATCTTCCTTCAACATTCATTTCTATAACTGTTAATACAGCTTCCGATTCTTCTCATCTCATAACATGACCAAACCATCTAAGTCTATTTTCTCTTATCTTATCCATGATTGGCGCAACACATATATTCTCACTTATATGTTCGTTCCTTATCCTATCTTCTTTAGTCACATCCATCTGAGCATTCTCATCTCTGCTACACTCATTCTCTGCTCTACTTTCTTATCAACCGCCCAACACTCTGAACCGTACATCATATTTGGTCTCACTACAGTCTTGTAGAATTAACCTTTCAGTCTCATTGAAATTCTTTTATCGCATAAGACGCCAGACTCTTTTGCACAACTGACCCTAAATACTTAATACTTCCACCTCTCCAATCACGTCCTAGCCTATTGTTACTAATCTCACCTACCTCGTTTTCTCCTTTGTCAAACTCGTACTCTGTATACTCTGTCTTACTTCTACTTATTCTTAAACCATTTTTTTCAAGAGCTGATCTCCACACCTCTAGCCTTTGATTAATTTCCTCCATATTTTCTCTTATTAATACTATATCATCAGCAAACAACACGCACCACGGCACCTTTCCTTGTATTTCTCCAGTAATTTCATCCATCACTATAAAAAATAAGTAAGGGTTTAAAGTAGAACCCTGATGCACTCCTACTCTTACCCGAAAACCTTTTGTTACTCCTCCCACACTTTTTACCCTAGTACAAGTGCCATCATACATGTCCTCTATTATATTAATGTATCTTTTCGGAACTCATTTTCTCATTAATGCCTACTTTAGAACCTCTCTCGGTACTCTATCATAGGCTTTCACCAAATCTATAAATACCATACAAAGCATTTTCTTTTTTTACCTAAACTTTTCTATTAGTTGCCTCACACAAAATAATGGCTCCATTGTTGACTTACCAGGCATAAATCCAAACTGGATTTTAGATACCGATGTCTCATTTCTTATTCTCTTATCTATTACCTTTTCCCAAATTTCATACTATGACTCATAAGCTTTATGCCTCTATAATTTTCACACATTGTATGTCATCTATACCTTTAAATATTGACACCACAATACTATTCTTCCATTAATTTGGAATTTTCCCTTCTAATAAAATTTTATTTAAAAGTTCCTTCAACCACCTTATGCCAATATCCACCAATATTTTCCATATTTCTACTGGCACTTCATCGTGTCCTACTGCTTTATTCTTCTTCATTCATGCCACAGTCTCCCATACCTCTTTCTCATTAATTAAATCTACCAATCTATTGTTTCATGAGATATCCTCTAATGTCTCTCTTGGAGACTCATTATTCAGTAATTTTTCAAAATACTCTTTCCACTTTTTTTTCACATCATCATCACTTGAGAGTACCTTATTATCAACACCTTATATACACATTATATAATAATAAATAATCTTTAGACCTTTTCTCTCTTACTTTTGAAAGTCTATAGATTTCTTTCTTTAATTTCTTTGTTCCTAGCCTATCATACAACACATCATACCTCTTAAACTTTGCCTTACTGCACACTTGGATTCTTTGCACATGCGTTTATACTCCATCCAATCTTCTCTCCTTTAGATCTTCTGCCATACATTGAATTGATTTTTCTTACTTTCTATGATTTTTTGAACGTCCTCATCCCACCACCAGGTTTCCTTGTTTCCTAACATTCTACTCTTATCAAACAATCTTCTTTTCACAACTAGCAAATCTATTTCACATATTATTTATGTCTTCCTCGACATTCCACATCGTCTTCTCTTTTACCGTCTTTACAAACTCTTTTTCATTTTCCCCTTTCAATTTCCACCACCAGATCTTCGATTTTTACCCTGTGTTCCATTTATTTTTGTATATTCTCTTTAAGATACACCACAATTTCATTACCATCAGTCTATGTTGTATAACTTTATAATCTTTTACTCGTTTTACACTCTCTCTCTTCCACATAAAATAATCAATCTGTAATTTATTCCTCTGACTCATATAAGTTATATAATGTTTTTCCCTCTTTCTAAAATAAGTATTAACCACAGCAATATCATACAATACAATTATTGCATTTATAATTTTTTTAACCATTAGTATATTAGTTAAAACACCAACGAAACCAATTTTTAAGACAATACTACTTACGAGTTCAACTTACATTAAATAAAGTGTTATTAATTTTTTTTTCTGAAAAGTTTTTTAAAGTTTTCAAAATAAATAAACATACCTGTTTACATTGATTATAGTTGGATACAGCTGATAAACATGCAGAATGTAAATTAAAAGGAATGATTGGTTCTGATGTACTGTCAAGTAATATCAATAAAGTTTCAGCAACAGAATGAACACTACCAGCTAAAAAATTTAAAAAAAAGTTAATTAAGTCAGAATCCAGCATAATGGAATTGAGGTACTTTTTTAGATTAGTAATGATTGACATCTGACAGTGATTAAAACCATTGTTGTAAGATGCTTCAATGTGTATTGTGCGTCACAAATTAAAAAATTTTTTAATTTTACTAATTAAAAATTACTACACAAAGTGTACAGAGTGATTAACTATGTCTCACAAATTATCTCTGAAAATATAAGAGTTATCTGTTTTTTCTTTATGAAATATTATATTTCTATCTTCGGCTGCTCAGTGAGTAAAATTACATTTTTATGATTATCCCTTATGCTTTAAATCAGTATCAACTTTCAATTTTCAAATGGTAACCCTATTTTTTTTTATTTCATTCAATTATCTACAAGCTATGATTGATTAAAGTATGAGAAACGTGATTATTACTAACATTGATTTATAAAAGACACGAAAATTGTCAATACACAGATAGTTCTTATCTGTACACTAAATATTAATGTTACTGTATTTACCCGACTACTGTTTTATTTGTTAAATCTCCTAAACTTTATATAGTGATATCTCGTTTAGAATTTATTAAAAATGATTTTTTTTTTATGTCAAACAAGATTAATAAAAAAAAACTCAGCAAAGTGAGGTCGCGGCACAGTGAGGACGTAGCATAGTTAGATCAAGTATAATGATATCTGACAGTGATTAAAATTACTATCATAAAAAATGCTTCGATGCAAATCTGTAGATAGTGTTTAATTTTAAAAAATTGATGGATATTCCAAAAGCAAAAATGATCTCTTATTTTATGAATTATATCCTGATTATAAGTTTTATCATTTATAAGTGTAATATATGAATAAATATATAAAAAAAAGTATGTCGAATGAAAGAGGGATATAAATACTACTTTTCATGAAAAAATTGTTTTGATCCATACATTTTTCAAAAAGTTATAGCATTATAAAGTTAAAAATATAAAATCGAGAATTATCACACAAAAATAGCATTCGGTAGCCATTTTTATCGTGAAGACAAAATAAAGTCAGAAATTTTTTTCCAAAAATAATTATACTGCATTAGCTTTAATTTAAGATATATATAAAAGTGTCAGACTTTCTGGAACACTTTCAAAAGTTTAGTTGAAAAAGTTAATATTTTGTGAAAAAGTTGTCATTTTAAATCCCTTTTAAAATTAAATATATTATATATATTTATTAAATAAATATTTAAAATAGTAATTTTTTTACAAAAACTATCTTTTTCAACTCAACTTTTGAAAATGTTCCGGAAATCCTATAAACATTTAAACACTTAAATTTAACACTATTTTAAATCCCCCCTGATTTAACCTGATCAAACGTTTGTGAAAAATTTACTGTAAATAGTAATTATAAAATTTGTTGACTGCATATTAATCTTAACAATTTCATTTTTTTCTATTTAATGATGTCAATTTTAAACTTGTAAGTTGAGCTAAAAGTTATGGTAATAAATTCATGTTATAAATAAGAAAATAAGAGTTCATTTTGCTTTTGTAATTATCCACCAATTTCTTATCACCAATTAAACACTATCTACAGATTTGCATCAAAGTGTTTCTAATGATAGTGATTTTAATCACTGTCAGATTAAATCTATACTAGACCCAACTATGCCAAGTCCCTACTATGTTGTGATCCCACTGTGCTGGTTTTTTTTAACTTATTGTTGATAAAAATTGGTAGAAGGAGCGGAGTTATTATTGTGTAATGACACAAAAAAAAAAAAAAAAAA